CATTATAGGTTTGAATCCTGCTGAATCAAATACTAAGTAAAATACATTCGGACTCAGACCTGAGATTTGGACAGAGACATAGTGGGGGACTATTTTTTGGATCTGTATCGACGACATTTTGAGTTGACGACATCTCTCCTCCTTTCCCCTCTTCGTCTCTCCTCCCTCCTCCTCGTCCGTGTATGTTACGACCTGGCGCCTCTTCTCTGTGTGTAGCGCCGGGTCGCCACACACACTGTATGATGATGATGATGATGATGATGTTCAGTCTGTGTGGTGACATTGATTGGGTCTGATTATTGGTATTTCAGTCTTCTGCTGTGCTATCCTTATTGCATCTGTGAGAGGTCGGTTCTCGGGTCTGATCTGCACGACATTGGTATGCGACAGAAGCCCCGCTCCACTCTGCCCACGCTCTAGCGCTGACGCCCCTCTCCTCCTCCGCCGCTCCTGCCCCCCTCACCAACCCTGCTTTAAAAAATAAAAAGAACGCCCTCCCTCCACCCAAGCTCCCCCCTCCGCCCACCAGAACTGAAGAGAATCAAGGAAAAAGCCAAAAATCAAGGAAAAAGCCAACGAAAAAACAAAAAAAACAAAAAGAAAACAAGCTTCCAAAAATCAAGCAGCATTACACCAACTGCATCAACAACAATGCACATGTGAGCCTCAACTCCCCATAGACCCCCCCCCCCCCCCCCCCCACCCCCCCAAAAAAAGGAAGAACCCCCACGAATGTTGTCAAATTTTTGGCTTTTCCTCTTTTTGTTTGCGAAGCGAAGCGGAAACAGGTACCTTTGTCAGTTTTAAATCCAGTCCAGGCATCCCTGGAATACAAGGCAAGGCGCGTATGCATTCAAGATTTTCCTCCGTTTGACACAACAATCGCCAATTTGAAATCGTGACTGAGGGCCTCGCCACACCAATGTCGAAACACGAATTTTCCATAGTTTCTCATCGCCACACAGCCTATCGAAAAATGCAGCTTCGAAAATTCTCGATAGGTGTCAGACATGGGAGTTCGATACCCCTATCGAACGAAATGTGCTCGTCCGCCTGCAATCGCCTTATCTTCGATAGCCCACATTCCGGACCATCGAAACCCCCCCCACACACGCGATAGACGACAGGACCCGCACAGACGGCAGACAGTCGAAAGCGGACCCGGAACGGAAAACATTCGATACCCCACCGATTTGACAGTGCTGTGTGGCGAAAGGGGGGGTTCCTATCGAAGTCCGGACTATCGGATTTTTCTGACACATCTCGAAAAAAAAACGCGATTCGATAGTGGTGTGGCGAGCCCCTGAGACTTTATTTCTCAAACTGAAACCGTGACAGCACCATAAATCCACCCCCCACCCCCCCAAAAAAACAGGTTGATGCCAACTTCAAGTTGTCGGAAAGAGCAATATGCATATCACTTGTGAAGGAGAAAAATGCTACGCGATCTCGGGGATAGCAAAGCGTGGAGAAATCTCAACTTTCTCAAGTGACAGGCAAACTGAAAAAAACATGTTCGAGACATTTCTTGGTTTCTGGAGAGGACATGATGGAAGTCCAGAAAATGTCTGAAGCACATCATCAGCTTCCGCAGAAGTCGATCGTCGGTAGGAGCCCCCTGCCTCGTTCCTCCTCCTCCGGTCTCATCATGACGATCTTCTTATTCGGGAAAACCCGTCCTGTTTCACGCGGGGTTTTCCAACCTCTTCCCCCATCATGATGCCCCTTAACACCACCTATTCTGCGATACTCCCCTGTGGACACCCTACCTTACTTACAGTATTGTTCCCGCGGACCCCCGATCATAACAGTTAACTCCCCGACACGTTATCACGACTGTGTTTACCCATGGTGGGATGGAGCATGCACACATCCATCATGATAAGGAGTTCTGTTGGGGGGGAAATGAGGTAGTAGCTGCTAAGCTACGTCGATAAATTGGCAGTACAACCCTTGTGCGGTTGCACCATCATGAAAGAAACACCTATCTAATCAGAACTCGTTACGAGCGCGCAAGCCAAAGCCAACTCAGCTTGAATACGGCGAGAAAAAAAGCGGGAACGTAAAGGGACTGCTTCGCTTCGCAGGCTATCTCACACATCTCACTGATCCAAACGAAGCGTAATCAATGGTTTCCCTCGCTATGCACAGCTAAAGCTTTCTACCTGTAATCTATGGTTTCCCTCGCTATGCACAGCTGAAGCTTTCTACACAGCTAAAGCTTTCTACCTTTAATCAATGGTTTCCCTCACTAGGCAGTGTGCACAGCTAAAGCTTTCTACCTTCTATCACTGAGCAGGGCCGCTACTGAAAAACGGGAGGCGGGAGCGAAACAAAAACCCGCAGACAGTTYGCTCGCACTCTAGCGCGAGGCCACTCGCCCGGGAGGGAGAGGAAACGTACGCTCCAAAGCCAAAGCCACAGCCACCAGACCTATGTCCTGATCGCCGTGAAGGAAATTTACCACGGCCAGCCTTAACGACAAGGCAGGCCTTACAGCTGTCGCTCTTACAAACATTTGAAGTAGGAGGAAAAAAAAAAAAAAAAAAAAAAAGCGTTCGGCACCACACCRCAGCTCCTCTGAACTCCTTCCGCCCGTCAAAGAGAAAAGAGGGGCCGCTAAGTTACGCCGTAAGCTGACACGTGGCGCGTGAATCCATTCTCCGAAGCTGCCGACGATTTGACGGAGCAGGCGGCCCCCGTGCCGCGGGAAAACCCTTCCATCCGTAATCATAGCGCTTTCTAACCTCTCAGCCGCGGGGGGATGAGGACGATCTACTGGAATCGGGGCTTGTAGACGAACGTGCCCGAGGGGATGGGCTCGAACTTGGGTTGCGCCTGCCCTCCAAGCTTCGCCATGGCCTTCTTGAACGCGTGATCCAAGTCGTTGATCAGATCGCCCACRCACTCTATTCCCACRCCCAGCCGAACCAGATCGTCCGGAAGGCCCCGGGACTCGCGGATGGCCTTGGGAACCGCAGCGTGCGACATGAAGCACGGCAGGCTGATCAGCGACCCCACGCTGCCGAAGCTCACCGTCTTCTGGAACACCTCGACGCCGTCCGCCACCAGCTTGGACAGCTCCACGTCTCCCGTGACGAAGCACAGCACCGATCCCGCGCCGGAGCACTGCTTGAAGTGCAGCTCCCGGTCGGGGAAGCCGGGCAGCCCCAGGTAGAGCACCTTCTTCACCAGCGGGTGCTTCGCCAGCCACTCCGCGATGACCTGCGCGTTCTCCTGAGCCTTCTCCACTCGCAAAGACAATGTCTGCATGCCCCTCAGGAYCAGGAAGCTGTCGARCGGGCTCAGRCACGCGCCCTCCGCGGACTGGAGGAAGTGGATGTCCTTGGCGAGCTGCTCGCCCCTGACCGCCAGGAAGCCGCCCATCACGTCGCTGTGCCCAGACATGAACTTCGTCAGCGACTCCATCACGATGTCCGCGCCGTGATCCAGCGGCCGCGAGAGCGCCGACGACATGATGCTGTTGTCCACCACGACCAGCGCGCCGCTCCGGTGCGCGATCTCGGCGATGGCGGCGATGTCCGTGATCTGCAAGAGAGGGTTCGTCGCGATCTCCAGGAACACGAGCTTCGTCTTCGGCGTCACGGCCCCGCGGATCTCGTCCAGATTGCTGGTGTTGGCGCGCTTCACCGTCACGCCCCACCGGGTGACGAGGCTGGTCAGCAGCCTGTCGGTCCCGCCGTAGATGTCGTCATCCGCCACGATCTCGTCGCCGACCTCCACCATCTGCATCACCGTCGTCAGMGCCGCCATTCCCGTCGAGAAGCAAAACGCGCGGTCCGCGTCGTGAAGCCGAGCAATGTGCTTCTCCAGCGTCGATCTCGTCGGGTTGTCGAACCGCGAATACAGAAACGAGCCAGCCTTCGTCACGGAGGGAAGCTTGAAAGTGGCCGTCAGGTAAATGGGGGCGTTTTTCGCACCGTACGGATCGTTCTCGTCCTGGAAATGGAGAGCGCGCGTAGCGAACGCCAACCCATGGTGGTCGTACTTGCAGCCCCGCACCTGCACGCCGTTAGCGTCTCCCAAACCCATACCTACCCGCTCTCTTYTTTTCTTGTCAATCAACCAAACAAAAAAATACTAATAAATAGCACACGACTCGCCAACCACCGGCAGCTCTCCGCTACGGGCGGAGCTGAAGCCGCGATCTACCCCAGCGTCCCTATCTCTTTTTTGCAGCTCGCGGTAGGCGTAGCGCGAACAGGGAGCAAGGAACGACGTCAGTGCAAGGGGAAGGGGATGGGGATGGTCACCGTGCACTGCGATTAGCTCGCCCTCCTATGCACGGAGCACGGTCCTATAAATCGACGTAGCTTCGTTACACCGACGGCATCATTCATACATGTAGTGGGTGGCCTGCAATGCTTACGATTCAGTTCAGTGACACGAAGCGCAACCTGTGGAGCAGCTCGGAGAGGGAGCGAGAGAAACAAGCAAGCGGAGAACATGGGAGGGGTTGCCGGGCACCCGGACTGCGCAACGCTCTGCCTTCGGTCACGACCACTGCATTACTTATAGGGCTGGTCGAACGGAAGACCCGCGCGATAATCGCACCGGCCTGAAGGAAACTGTGGGTGGCACCCTGACGGACGGCAGTACGAGAGGATGGTAAGAAGCGCATGCTGTTGGGCCGATTTTCAGCATGGGACTCGCTGCACTACTCTGCAAATGTCCAAAATGAGAAATAAAATGAATCTTCTTCCGCTAGAACATGGAAAGATGCACCTCCATGTTTTTTTTTACGTTTTTTTCTTTTCTTAACTAATCTATGCTCCTCTCTCAATCTTCTTTGACCTGTATAGGTTCGTGCACGAGGATAGTAGTGGAGCGAGCCCGCGAGCCACCAAGTCTTCTGATGACAATGGCGGGATAGAAGAGTCGGTGCACCCATAACGGTCTACCAGTATAGGGGTGAGCACCTACTTCCGGCCACCGGTAGCAGGCCGGGGGGCACTGCATGAGAGCAGCATCCTCACGTGAAGACACCTGGACGAACCAGCGGCCGGGGAGAACAGGCGAGAGAAGAAACAAAGTGCCTCGCTCTCTCCACCACGCAACGCTCTTCATGCATTTTTTTTGGATGCGTTTGGGASCCTCTMCGTTCATCATAATGTAATGTTGGACTCGTTCTGGATCAGAAAGCATGCAAATGCACGTTGACAGTTGTGTATGTAGTGGAGCGAGGCCCAAAGGAAAAGGGAAAGGAGGAGGAAGGGGGGGCGGGGGGGTCTCTGAGTCTCTGACTCGCCCGCGTGGCTCGGCTAACCCGGTTTTTGTCTTTATTTTCCCGTTTTGGAAAATCTCGTCGCCAATGCTACTCTGTAGCCGCCGTCACCCATCTAGCACGTGTGGCGAAATCGTACACCCCTGAACTGGTAGTAAGCACATCTGCGTTCGAATCCTCCTGTTGAACCAGATCAGGGAATGAAATGACACAACACTCTACGTGCAATGCCATTKGGATGGTTTCTYGACCCGATGCATTCAAAATGTTGGACTTGTCCGAATGCACCTGGTCCGCAAACCCTCCAAATGCATGTAGAGTGTTGTTTTGTGGAGCGAGCCACTCAGAGTCATTTCATTTCATTAAAATTCAGAGTAGTGGAGCGAGGGCCTGACTGAACTGCACGCCTCTTTCGTCCGGGACGGACGCTACTGGGCCCTTCAAAAAACTGCCAGTTGTCACTACCTCAGTGGAAACAAAAAACGTCGTTGCGTTCTTCCTTTTCATCATCTAATAATAGGCCCTGGGGTTGGTCGCACGGCTCGGCGTTCGTCCTGATGCGTTCTAATAGTAGGCCCTGGGTTAACTTCAGTAGAATTAGGGGCTCGCCACACCATATCGAATAGCGTTTTTTTTCGATAGGTGTCAGAAAAATTCGATAGTCCTGCATTCTATAGAAA